AGGAGCCGGGCTGGCCTTGGCGACGGGAATCTTGGACTGCCCCTTCCTCTCGCCATTGGACATCCAGTAGTTACCGTCCCCTTCCAAGGCAATCTCTTCGGGCCGCCGCAAGTCCCAGCTGGACGAAGGCTCCAAGTCGGGCATCTTTTCCGTCGGGACTCTGTTTTCCGGAGAGATGGAGGTTTTCCTAGACCTCGGGCGAGGCATCTCGTCATCAGCAGCGGTAGACGTCGTCCTCTTGGTGCTCCCGTTCAGCTTCTCCTCGCTACGACCCCTCCGCGGCCTGCTACTCGCGCGCGGTCTCGGCAAGATGATGCCCGCGGCCTGGAGCTCCTCGCTCTCGATCTGAGCCAGCTTATCGCGGTGGATCCATTTGGAATTGTCATGCTCGGGGTCGTTCTTCAGGTCGCTGGTGGACCGCTTCTCGCCAACCTTTCCGCCAAAGACGTCGTCCGCCACAGCCAAGCCCGTTTTCGCCGATGCGTCGGTATCGCGGCGGCTCTTCTTGCCCAGCGACAGATTATCATTAGATGCCTTCTTCTTCGGAGGCGGCAGTGGCTCGAAGCCGTACTCGTAAATGTTGGCCGAGTTGCCGTTTTGCGAAAGGGGCGGCCTGTTCGGTTCGGACCTTGCGGATTTCTTGTCCTGAGAGTTCTACGACAGATGGTCAGCGTCTGCGCCGGCGTGCCGCTGCGAAACCCGTGGGCGAATGTTGCCCTCTTCTGCACAGCACCTACCTCTGTGGTGTCCCAGGAGTTTTGGTTTCCGTTGCTATGGCTGCTGCTGGGCGGCGTGATGGTGTTCGCGGTCGCTGACGCGGCAGACATGGCGGCCATCGCGTCGTCTGGAGAGCTGGAGGCCCAGCAATCTCCAGACTGTCGTGAGCGGGTGTTGGTTGGGGAGGTCGGCGTCGGCAGAGCTCTCGTGAAGATGGGGAGTCAATTGTCGGCCAAGGAGAAGAGTTTCGGAGGCTGGCGTGCGCGCGCGATTCGAAAGGGTAGTGAGAGAAGCAAAGATGGCGCTGGAGGAAACGCGAGCGGGAGACTGAAATTGCGTCGTGGGCTGGCGGCTTAGCGTGGTTGGAGTGTGGTGTATTTGCGGTAGCTGGCGGCGGCGGTGGTGGTTCACCGGCGAGGCGGCTTATTAGGAGGCGGCCACGAAGCGGCGCGATGGTGGGAAAGGTAAAGTGCAGTTGCAGGTGCCGATGGTGGCAGCAGGTGCAGAACAATCAAGACCTGGCTGAAGTCTTTTGGGATGGAAACAAAGGAAAGCAGGATAGCGTCAGGACGGAAGGCCGGCCGGGAGGAGGACGGGGTCGGAGAAAGAGGAACGAACGAAGGTGGCGGCAGGTCAGGTCGATCCGAAGAAAGCTGCTGCTGCAGACAGCGAGAGTGAGCGAGTGGTGAAGAATGGAAGTGTGGTGTGGGAATGGAAGAAGGTGCTTTCGGTCAAGTCAGGAACAGGTTCAGCGAGAGGCCATTCGCAGCGGTGGTTGACGCTGTGGTGTCGTCCGTCTTGCGTCTGGGTCTGCGTCGTCTTGTCTCTGAAGATGGCCGCTCTCAGCGTTTCCACAGTGCCCAGGAGAAGGAGAAACGAGGACGACGACAACACGCGCAGGTTGGTGGTGAATGTGAATTGGCAGAGGACGTGGACGGGACGGGGGCAGCGCACAGGCACACGAGCACAGTGCGGGACGGAAAGACGCTAGGCAGGGGAGGAGGTGGGCTGCTCCGGGTACGTACCGCTGCTTGGGGGGCTTATCTCGATCAAGACTAGCGCATCCAAAGTCGAGGGGCTGGTTGGCTGAGACCCTAGTCCAATCAAGGGTTGGGGATCCACAGGTGCAAGGCGTGGGATTCCCTTTTTCGGGGAGACGAGCTTGCTGATAGGAAGAAATTGAGGCACTCGAGTTGTGCTTTGCTTGCTTGCTTGCTTGCTTGCTTCATCCCCTATTATCCCAAGCTGCAGTTGATATCCGTTCCTGTTCGCGGGTATGATGAAGGAGTGATGAGTGTTCCTTACTGCGATACTTTTAAGAGGCGGAGCCAGTCATCAGGCAGGCAGGCACTTGGAATCAAAAATACTTATGCTCCGAGCATGCTCCAAACCTGCGCCTGCAACCGGGACCAGAGTTGCATTCTGCCAATCTTCGTCCCAACTGCTGCACCTCTCGGGTCCCTTTGACTTTGCATCTCTTGCTCATCATCCGCTGCCATTGGCCGACCCAGACAAGGCGGGCACAGCGCCGCAGAAATGTTGGTTAGCATTTCCATGGTGACGAAAGACAGACAGAAGAGGGGCCAAACGAAGCACAAAAAAATAAAATTGAAAAAGGAGGGGGATCGAGCGGCAGCAAAAATACCCAAGCGATGGAATGAACCTACGCCAAGTCAAGTCAGATCAACTGGCACTTGACACTGTCTGTCTGTCGCTCAATGTCATTGGAGAAGGCAGACAGCTGCTCCTCCTCTCGAGCCCTCTCGACAGCACCGTGACTCCTCCAATTGGCGGTCCGCAGAGCAGATGCGCAATGCAAGACAAGCTGCAGCTCGACCGCAGCCAATGACGGCAGCCAACACCGCCAGACAAGCTCCTTCTTACAGAGTCTAGAGCTAGGTAGAAGCCGTGCAACGGCCCACCTTTGTCTGCCTTGTGACGCCGCACATCACAGCGCGGGCAGACAAAGACACACACAAACCACACTGGAAGGACACACAGAGTCTTTGATGAATCGCAGGTGGCAGCGTGGCAGCAGGCCCACTGATTCAGGAGGGGCCGGGCCTGAGAGAGCAGACACTGAAGAGACATGGCACAGGAGGCCCAAGTCACCACCACCCCGCCTGCTCCTATCCCCATGCCCGGGAGGCACGGAACGAGCGTCCTTTTCTTTCCCTTTTCCCTCTTTTCGCGAGCAGAAAAGAAGAAAACCCGGGTAGCGAAGACAGTGCATCAACTGCGCTCGGACGGGTTCCATTTTCCATTCTAACCCTTCCATCTGCACGTTCGGAGACGGGGGAACCAGCCACTGATGCTATTCCCAATGGCCCCCAAAGGGGAGCCGAGCCAGGAGAGAGCGGGACACTATGGGAGGTGAAGCTCAAGCGAGCAGTGGTCCACAACGGAGCCGCAGACGTAAACACAGCGAGCTGTTGTCAATGGTCAACATGGACGTCGGGGGATATCGCTCGTTAATTGCTGTGGAGCGGGTGAGGACCGTTGAAGAACGATGGGGGTCAAACGGCCGCCAGCCGCGAAGGGCTTTCGGTGTGGAAAAAAAGGGACACACACGAAGGATGGATGCTTAGCATAAACGATAAGCCGGCACCAATCCACCATCGTCATCTGTCACCCAGGCTGATCCCGTCCATACCAGCCAGCTAACCTGGGACCCAAATTCAACGTCAGCTATTATTGTCTGGTCAGCGATCTCGGATGGTGCTCCGTGGCACTATTTGGGTCTTCGGTACTTGTTTCCTCTTGGGTTTCTGGGGGGAGAAGGTTTATTGTTGATCACCAAGGACGGGACAAACTCACCTCACCCAGCAGTCGCCGTGTCCTGCATAAAATAACACACAACAGTCATCTTGCACAAACCCGCAACTGACTCTTGTGAACACTTCCTGCGAAGAATTGGAAAGGCGCACTGTGTCTGGACCTCGTTCGAACTCGGGGCCCTTGCAACTGCCTGTTGCACCCCGGCACTCGTCATTTGCGCCTCCTTGCGCAGTAATCAATCCCAGGAAAACGACGCCAACGGTCTGTGCCTTTTTTTCCCTTCTTTTTTTCTTCGTCTTCTCCCGTTGGGCATCTGGCTCCAGGTTGTCGGCACTTTCCATTCGAAATATTGTGGCCTTGCAGCCTTGGTTGGACCTGAAGCATCGTACAGCATCGCAGCATTTTCGTATCGCGGCTAAGGTCGCGCCTGTAAGATGCATGCATGTGTTGTCTCTGCCTCTGCCTTCTTTTCTTTTTGTGCCGTCACCTGCAGACCGTTTGTCTCTGCGACGGACCATTTCGTAGGCCAATGGCCGCCCAACCTCGTGTTTCCTCCCGTCCGTTTCTTGTCATTCACCTGTCTCTCGTGAACAGCAGCAAGACCCTTCACAGTGTTCCTCAACTTCGGATCCTCACCGCCAATAAAACCCCTCCAGGTCCGCCAGCATCTCGCATGACGGAGACATTTTCGCCGGCCCCACATCCGGACAACGTCCCCAGGTGGTGTCCCTCAAAGCATGGCCCCCTCCTGCCCATGACATCGCACCGTCCGAACGAATGAATGCTTATCTCATCAAACCATCAAAATAACCACCACCACACATAACACTCGCACTGCAAATACATGACTCCATCCATCATCGAATCCGCCCTGCTCTGCCCCCTCCTCACCTCCTTCTAGAAGAACCAACTCATCTCAAAACCTCGCAGGGGTGGGCCGTGGTTGGGAGAAAGGATCAATTCAGATCGTCCTCTGCCTTATAATTTCCGAACGGGGGCTCCGGGGGCAGGCAACAACACCTTTGAAAGATACATTCGTCGAGGGGAGGGCCTTGCGTTGCGTCTTCCGATTGTCTGCCCAGGTGCCGTATAGCTATGGCTTGGGTTCTCTCGCCGGGAAAGAGACAACCCAAGAGCCGGCGCACGGTGAAACAACGCCGACCTACGAATAGCAATTAGTGCCGGCCTGCCCTTTCTCATCATCCACGTATTGGCCTCTCTGATTACGCCTGCATCCAGCCTGTTTCAAGTGAAGCACCGCGCACAAACATCTCCGTCCATCAATCTCGTTAGGCAACCCCCTAAACCTGCGTCCGCGTGCACAATCACCCTCGCCTGCAACACTCTCTATCCAATACCGGCTTTGCACAACATCATTCATAACCAAGACCTTTTCGTAAGCACTGCAAGAAGCATCGCATATCATCCTGCCGGCCGGCCCCCGTGCCACCGACCATCCCGCCCCATCCCCGGCCCCCGATCCCTGACCCCCGAATCCAAAAACCATGGACTCCCTCGCCGGCACTGAGGCCCAGCAGCGCAGCACCAGGTGCCGCCACCGAGACCCTCCCACCCGGACGCGGAGGACCCGGTTCGTCTGCGTCTCCGACACCCACAACACCACCGTCAAGCTCCCCAAGGGCGACGTGCTGATCCACGCGGGGGACCTGACGAACCAAGGCAGCTACTCAGAGGTACGTGCTGCGGCGGCCTCGGTCATGGACTTTCCCTGCTCTTTATGCCTTCCAATGTGCAAACTCCCCTCCGCCGGGAACTGTGTGGGCGCACGACTTCGTTCGCGCAGAGGCTGAAGCTGTGGATTCTCGTCTGGGATATCCGCGGTAGTGTGTAAATAAACAACACCAAGCTTACTTGCTGCAATCACTATAACGACTTGACTTTTTCGTGTGGCCCCCAACTTACATTACAGCAGCTATCACGAGCAGTAGCCTGGCTCGAAAAGGCCCCCTTCGAAGCCAAGATCGTCGTCGCAGGGAACCACGACCTCACCCTCGACGCCCCCTTCTACGCCGTCCACGGCCCCCATTTCCACAATCAAGCCCGGCAGTCACCTTCCGACTGCCTCGCCCTCCTGACCTCCTCCCCAAGCATAACCTACCTCAACCACGCCTCTACCAAAATCACCCTCACCTCCCCCTCCGGCCCGCGCACCTCCTTCTCCGTCTTCGGCTCTCCGTACTCGCCCCGCAACGGCCTCTGGGCCTTCTCCTACGACACCCCGCCACAGAGTCAGACTACCCTAACGGCAGCGGACCTCCCCGCGCTCTGGGACGACATCCCCCTCGACGCGGACGTCGTCGTCACGCACACCCCGCCGCGTACGCACCGCGACGAGTCCCGTCTGCGCCGCGCCGCCGGCTGCGAGGCCCTCCGCCGGGCGCTCTGGCGCGTGCGCCCAAGGCTGGCTGTGTGCGGCCACGTCCACGAGGCGAGGGGGGCGGAGAGGGTGGCGTGGGATCTTGGGTGCGCGAACACGGCGTTCAAGGAGGACGGGGTTGCGGGGTGGGAGGATCCTGGGGTTGGGGGGAAGCAGTCGCTTGTTGACCTGACGGCGAAAGGCGGACGGGCGTTGGAGAATGACGGGGCGGTGAGAGGTAAGGTGGAGGATGTGAGTGTGAAGACGGAGGTTGTGGGATTGGATGTGAGAGGGTTGGGGGGCGATCCGGCGAGTGTGAGGGCTGATTCGGAGGCGTTGATGGGAAGGCTGGGTAGACGGGAGACGTGTGTGGTGAATTGTGCTGTTATGGCGAAGAGTTGGCCGCATGTTGGGGGGAAGACGGTGAATAAGCCCATTGTTGTGGATTTGGATTTGCCAGTATGGGAGGAAGAGTAAGTCTGGCGAAGAAGGCCCAATGGTGTCTCAGAGAACAAGGCCGTAGGATTGCGTAAGTAGGCCTAGACTAAGGACAGTATCAAACACCTTTGTGTTATCGTTAGATGCCTTTGGCTGATGACTAGGGTGAGATCTCAGAGCCCTCTACGTCACGACGAACGACGACCCTAGTGCGGAGTAGGGGCGAGTTGTCAGTTGTCTGAGGATAACAACAACCAGATAACGAAGGCGATGAGGACGATGGAGATGGCAAGGATAACGAGAACGAAGAGGAATATGGGGACGACGGGCTGTCTTTGCGCGCCTAAAGTGGTATCTCTGCTGTCGGAGTTTCGCTCCGCTTCCCTCTATCCGTTTGTGACCCAGACCACGGGGGCCATGATTCGTTCTGAGTAACTTGCTCACCTTCGAATGCCCCTTTCTGGCATGAAGCTCTCCAAATTCCAACTCGGCACGACCAACTTCCATTTAATCGATCTCTCAGCCCCTTCATCTTCTTTTTCCGTCTCTCAAATAGACCTCTTCAGCAAGGTCCCAGGGACTGCGCGCTCCAAGTGTTGGGAAGGTACAGCACGTCGATGCCGCATGACTCCGTCACCTGGACGAAGAAGTTCTTGCCCGAGGCCAGGATGTAGCCGCCGTCGGTCTTGGAGATGCACCCGCTGCCGACCTGCACGTCGAAGTCGTTCTTGAGGGCGACGTTGCAGTCGGCGAGGGCGCCGGCGGCCAGGAAGATAGCGGGGATGGCGGCTGAGAACTTCATTTTGTCTGTGGAGTTGTTAGTTGATGGGCTGTTGTCTGTGGTTTTCTTAGTGTGACGAACGATTGGAATGAGCGAGATGGTGGGTGTAAGATGTATAGAACGAATGATATTGTTGTTTGATCGCCGGAAAACGAATGATGGTGATGTAAAGAGAGCACAAAGTCGGAATTCAGGAGCATGATGTAGCAGCATATTTGAACGCTCGCAATCGGTTTGGATCGTCAAACGCGTGGGAAGTACGGGTCATGATCATGAGTCGTTCGTCGGAACGAAAGCGAGCTCGGGGTCCGCCTTGGCCCATGGCATAGGTACGTGCTTGCTACGCACATGAGTCGGTGGAGACACAATTTGGGCGAAGTAGTAGAATAATAGCTGTGCCCCGCTGAATAGGACATAGAATAGGATTACGGTCTTTTCTAATCTCCTGTAATGCCGTGCGATACATTCGTCGGAAAGAGTCGTGTTCTCCGTGTCAGCAACATCTACGGTATTAGGGATTTAAGAGGAAGATATCCACAATTAAGGCAACAATAAATCATACTCGAATATCGAGGTGTATCGGACAAAATATGAGTGCTATGTTCAAGTGTGATCGCTATCTATCTAGAAAAGAAACATCTGGCTTGCGAAATGCGAGAAAAAATGAAAGCAAACTCCCCTGAGGGCGATAATCTAGTTAGGGCACGAAAAGGAAACGCAGATGTATCGACAAACGGTATCATCTCTAGTCAGTTGAAGGAGAAAATCAAAGCCAGGCCTTCCTCTGTGGCTGTTCTGTGCTTATCTGAAGCCTTTTCGCGTTTTCAAACACTTCATCAAGCTGCCTCAAGTCCAAATCCTTGATGGCCGGATACACCCTCTCCTTCCTCGGCGTCTCTCCCGGTTGCAGCAGCCCCTTCTCAACCATCTCCTCCAACAAGTCCTTCTTCATGCCCTCCGGCGTAAGCGGAGAGTGGTAGATCATATTCAGCCCCTGGGACTGCATGTCCCCCACGTGGCCAGTGCCCTTGTTGTCGTGCAAGTGCGGGTTGCGAGTCATGTGTTGGTGGATGTGCACCAGACTCGCGGCCGCGGCCTTCGAATCGCCGCTGTTGCCCATCTGCTCCAGCAGGAATATGTACTCGTACGGCTCGACGGCGAAGCCACCGGCCATCTCCATCTTCGCGGCCAGCGACATCGTCATCGCGTGCTCGCCCGCGTTGCCGGTCTCGATGATGTTGGTGTACGTGCTTTCACTGCCAGTTTCCCTGTAGATCTCCTCGAGGAGCCTGTTCAGCCAGCCGTTGACGACCTCGGAGCACCGCCCGCGGCGCTCAAAGACCCATTCGTTGTCGCGGTACTTGGGCTTCGAGCCCCAGGATATGCGCACCATGGCGTCCGCTGACTGGGCGAGGTAGAGCCCCGAGGCGAAGGACTTGCAGTACTCGAAGGCGGAGCCGGGGATGTAGTTGTCGGCGTCGATGAAGCCGAGGTACTCGCAACCCTGCATGGCGGCGAGGGTCATGCCCATGAGCATTCCCTCGCCCTTTCCGTTGCGGATTGTTGGGGTGACGGTGTTTGGGTCGATGAGGTCGGGTGCGCCTGCAGCTTCGAATGCTTCCGCGGCGGCTGGGTCTTTCTGGTGGATGGCGATGGCCTGGCGTCCTGTAAGGCGGCAGAAGTTCTTCAAAAGGCTGACTTCTATTCTGTAGTTGTCGACCCCGCCGTGTTCTCCTCGACTGCTGTTGGAGACGAATATGATTGTGCAGCCGTGAGGGATGCCGGAGAAGAGGTCGTCAATGACGTTGGGCTTTTCGTTCATGCAGAGGATGATGATGGCCATCTTGGATTCGATAGCGGAGAGCTTGTCCTGGGAGACGGTCTGACTGAAGGGAGTGCTGTGGCCGTACCCAGCGTCCATCTCCAGAATGCGCTGGAGATCATGGACAAGTACTGAGCCGACTTGCTCGAACCTCTTGGCGACTTCGAGTCTCATGACGGTGGTTAAAGTAAGAATGATCTGAAAGGGGAAGTAAGATGTCTAGCGAGGGAAAGTGATGCCTGATGGTGTTCCTCCAGATGAATCCTTCCAAACGTGCACTTTAAATAGAGAAACTTCCCTTTATCAAGCCTTCCCCCGCCGTGCTTCGCCGGACTGATGCGAACCGGTAGACATACTGGCCTCCTCCTCCCCGGGCCAACTTCCAAGGCAGCAATTCCAATTAGTACCACACAGCGACTTTCAAAACCGACACAGCAATAGTGTGCCGACAAAGATTTCCCATTGGCGCCGCGAACCGCAAGGCATCGAGTGCTTTACCCGGCAATAAGCGTTGTTCATGTGGCCTGCCTGGGATGTGTGAGGTGCGGCCTTTCCATACTGTCGGGAGTACTCACCGATGTGGTGGTTTTGGGGGCCGTTTCCGAGCGTCTGGATCCGAAAGTACGCCAGTAAATACCGAAAACTTGGATGCCTGCAATTTGGTACTAGAAGTTTGTGGTGGGTAAGACCGACTTTCACGGCCGGAGTTGGCCGACGTTGTAAAGGGAGTGATTTCGTTCGCCCCTATTCGCAACCTTTAGCCCCCAAAAATCGTTCGACCCGCGAACATTTCTGTTAGCGGGTGAGACACCCGGAACAGTGAGTCAAACTGGGACATAAACCCGTCATGGGATGAGTGCTGGAAATAAGATTGAGGCTCTGTCCCCATAAAAGATGACGCGGGCACGTCAGCTTGCCAAGTCGGGTACCTTAACCGTTGGCAGCCTCAAACCGTTACTGTTCAGGGCCGCGAGTTGCCGACGACGAGAACGAGAGCGGTGACTCTTGACCGTAGTTTGATGCTTTTGCTATGTAATTTGTAGTTTCAAATGACATCCAAATTTCAGTGCCAAGTAGCAGCCCGGCGTGGGGGGCGCATGCTTGCTTGGTCATTTCAAGCTTAAGGGGGAGGTATGGGATGCTTGCTGAAAAGGCCCGCGAACCAACGTCCAACCAGATTTCCGGGTACGAATGTGCACATTGCTGACCACATGTGCCAAGAGCAAGGACAAATAGACCTCTAAAGAGTATCCATCAATAGTGACGCTCCCACGTAAGAGGCGCATTTACTGAGCCCACTCGTGACTGGGGCTATGTCGCCGTTGCCTTTACATATGCCGCATCAGCCACCCAAATCAATTATTATTACGCAGTTGCGATGGCCGTGATACAATTACTGCTTTTTTCCACTGGGGAATTGTATACTGTGTGGGTATGAATGTTCCTTGACATTGCGCAATTGCGAAGTCTCTATGCTGATGATGAGGATTTCCGCGCATGTGGGCATCTTTACAACTCTGGCTCATATGCCGAAACACGAGGGTCAAATTGGAATGGAACTTTAATCTATGGCTTTTATTGGTCTCTCAACTGCTTCGACATCATCCTTTTCATCCCGAACCAGTCGGCTTAGGGATGTTTTTGAAGCCCCATGTAGGTAAGGTAGAGGCTCATCTCTCGCAACTACCGTCATGTGCTGATTGGCGGGTATTATTCGACTAGCCTCTCACGAGAAGTTCGTCCAAATCCGTTCTGCATTTCACCCTTTGCTGTGAGTCTCGCTGTATCCAGAATATCAGGCTACGAATTCCAATTTCAAAGCATTTGCGCTTGACTTCCTTACGCCAAAGATGAAGCATATATACTGCCCGTTTGAGTGTTGAGTATCAAACATGGAAGACGTCTACCGCAGCGAGTCATACGAAGCTTTGATTGCTGGCAGCTATATAATGGGAAGAGAAAATAGAATAGCAAATTTGTAGAAGCTAAGGCATAGTCTTTCCCGTTCTAACGTCGTTTTCTGAGAGATAAAGTCCCAGCGAGAAGACAGTGAGGTATATTCTGAAAAGAATGTATAATATTAAACGAGATTCGGGTCGTCGCTCCTGCTTATGACTTCTTTCTTTCACGTATTCATTACCGTGTTAGTTGATTTTTAACGCAACCAGAGTATGCGGGGTTTAAATTGTGGCCTTGACACTTGTTTTGATACAAGATGGTTATATTACTTCGAGGATGAAAGACCAGCTTCTGATTCTACACGTCGCTATTGCCGGCGTACGCAGACGGCAATGGTCATCTTGCCAACTTTAAGCAACCACGTCAAGACGCACAGCATTCAGCACATGGTTTGGCCTCGAATTGCCTCGACTGACCCTCGACACCCAGCCTCATCATTTACAATCCAGTGTGGTACAGCACGTCAAGGTTGAAGTTCCTTCGCCTCCGCAGCTGTTGAAGAACGGCTGTGCGCAAGTAGCTCCGTTTTGGAACGCTTTGCACTTGGCCGATACGAGAGTCGGTCCGATGAACGCTGCAACTGCGGTAACTAAAAGGCGGGAGATATGCATGTTTCTAAGGTTTCGCTGAACTAAGTCTTATTAGCTCTAGGTAAGGC